ATTACTTCCTAGGATAACACGCATTTATTTTCATTTCTTCTTCTGCTTCCCCCTATACCCACATACGCATATATGTCTAAAGAACATCCAGCCAAACTTCAGATGCGAATCCTTTAAATCTCGAATATGAAAAATTGACTGCAAGACGTAATATTTTGACAACAAAGCTAAGCAATTTGCAGTTGAAAGTTTGGCACAATTGGCAGCAGACAATTGAGAAGCGCATTGCCCAAGGACTTGATACCAAACTGATGACTCTCCACCATCAAAACTCTGGCAATGACAAATTCAGTTGTTCGAATAAAATTCCCCAGTGTCGTGAATGGCCAACAACGAACAATAATGTCAGTGATAGTGGAGCTATCGATGCTGTGACTAGCAGTGGTGGAAATGCCAACAAAGTCAATAAGAACTATAACAACAACATCATCGTGGCGAACATGAACACCTGGACATCCAATTATACACATCGTTATCAAGTTGTCACCCCAAATCGTTGCAGTAGTGCAACAGCACTCCCCAATACTACAGCTAGGGCTTTAAGTGAATCGTCATCGTCGTCGGTGTCACCACCACCACCATCGTTGTCGTCGTCGTCAACGACACCTGGCAGTGGCAACACAAAAATCCTTGAAATGCATTACTCCAGCGAACTTTTCACATTATTAAGGGAGACTAAATATTTGTTGGCCCTACAACAGGTTAACGAGAGGCGTAAAGGGTTACTGGCCACATTTAACTCGCCACAGCCGGCGTCCACAGATCTGCAACGACAAAAGGCAGCTGAGGAACAACTGCACCCTCATAATCATCAAGAACAGCAGATGCAGCAGCACCCTCAATTGTTGCCACAGACTTTACTCGATTTGTACGAACAACGCGATGTTTTTTGGCAACGCAAGATCAGATTAATGCAAATCTCGGAATACTATAACGGCATTCGCCACCAGAATGGACAGCGAACAGCTATCACAGAAATGCAATTAATTCATCCGTCTGTCAGTGTAATCTATGAACAGTTGGATTTGGCTGCCAAAACATTAACATGGCGAAACTATGGTGAGTTTGTTAAGGTGCATCTTGCTTTTGTTGTAGTCGTTGGTGTTGTTTTCGTTTTGAAAAGGTGACAACTAGGGCTTTGATTAAAATTCAATAAGCCGCATCAAAGGATTTGCGGATTTGTTCGTTGTGTGCGCCATCTTTTTCTATTTGCCGATTAGAGATTAGTTTGGACAACATATTTTTTGGTGTCCAAAGAAAAAACTATGAAAATAAATCTGTAAATAATTGCTAAGTAATTTGATTACCGGATTCTGTTGAACCGGAAAAATAAAACGGCGTTGTTGAAGAAAATAGGTAAAATTAATTAAAATAAAGATAAATGCGTCCGATGTTAAACAGAGGGTCAGTGTGTCATCAGAGAAATCGGATTTAGGTTTCAATGCCAACCATAAGTTCTTCAATTAGAAGCCAAGTATGTCCTCTTATAGAATTCCAAGTGGTCCTTCATATAGAAAACCAAAATTAGTTTAAATTGGTTACCAGAAGGACTTCCAGAACTATACAAGGTCAGACAGGTATATCATAGGAGATGTTAAACATAGGGCCAGAGGATCGAAAGAGAAATTGGATTTAGGTAGTTAAGGTCCATCTCAAAACCAACCAGGAGTTCTTCAACTAGAAGCCCAGTATCTCCCAGGCTATGTGTTTCTTATTTTAGAAATTTGGTTATTTTAGGTTAAAAAAAAAGGACTTTCGGAACATTTATTTCGAGGCCAGAATTTTATCTCATAGAAAATATTAAACATGGAGCCAGTGGGTCAGAAAAAATTGTATTTAGGACTTGAAGGTTCATCTAAAAGCCAACCAGAAGTTCTTCAAATAGAAGCCCAGTAACCTTATAAACGGCTGTGGGGTCCTTCTTACAGAATACAAGAATTAGCTATTATTGAGGACAAAAAAAGTGATTATTTATTTCTTATTTTTTATAAAAAAAACGAAATGCCGTATGATCGTATTATACAACACCAACAGTCTTCACATAGAAGTTCAAAAAACCTTCCTATAAAATAAGAATATAAGAAAATGTTCTCGTAGCAGACATTAGGGTTAATTATAGAAGACAAAAGGTATTTTTTACAGAAGAAGATAAGCTCCTATTGTAGAAGATGAAATATCTTCTTGTAGAAGCCCAGAAAGATCTTCTTTTTAGAACTCCATAAAAGACGAAAGAGATTTTGTACAAGAGATGAAGAGATCCTATAGTATAAGACGACATATTTTGTTATAGAAGTCAAGAAGGATCCTCTATCTAGATGTCCATAAGTCCAGTAAAAAGTCCATTTTGTCTTCGTATAGAAAAATTTTACAGATGTCAGGAATTTTTTAAGAAAATGCCAGTAGAGTGTTTTTTTAGGAGACCAAGAGGGAATATTTATAAAAGGCCAGAATGAAGTTATTTTATAAATTCAAACATATAGAATACAAAGGTCTGTAGGGTTAATAACAGCAGTCGGGTTCTTCTTACAGAAAATCGAATAATTGATTATCAACAAAACTAGAATGCCTTTATTGTAAATGACCGGAACGATCTTCTATATAAAAAAATAAAACAATTTTATTAATAGCATAAGGTCTTACTATAAAAAAATCACAGACAAGAAAAGAATTGTGGCATGAAATGGTAGTGTCTTCCTGTTTATGAGGTCCTTACATGGATAATGAGAAGGGTTTGATCATTCAGCGTTGAATAAGAGCTGAAACGTCTGCTTATATAGATGATAGGGTTCTTTAAAAAAAGAAGACCAAAAGAAGGCTAGAAAATCGTATCAATAAATAATATATAATCTTCTCGTAGAGAACCCGAAGGTTTTTTTCATAGTATACCACAAGGTCATCTCATACAAAACCCTAAGGTCGTCTTATAGAAGATCAGAATGGCTTGCTCATAGAGAGGATAGGGTTCTTTAAAAATAAGTCTTGAAGAAGGCTAGAAGATTTTATCAATGAAAAGCAAATTATCTTCTAATAGAGAAATCAAAGCTCTTCTCATAGAAGACCACAATGTAATCTCATACAAAAGCCTATGGCCATCTTATCGAAGGTCAGAATATCCTGCTCATGGAAGACCAGAATGTTGTCTTGCAGAAGACCACAACATTTTGTCATTCACACTTGCAGAAGAAGACCTTCGAATGCCGCATAACCATATCTTTCAGGGTAATAATATATTCGATACCCTCATAGAACCTAGAAATCGCGAAGTTCTTCTCACACAAGACTCCAAAGTATGGCCCGCTCATAGAAGACCAGAATGTTGTCTACCAGAAGACCATACAGTTCTGTTCTTCACAATCGCATAGAAGCATGGGCTTTCTATATATTTCAAGCTAATAATCCTATTTACATGATCAGCCTTATTCTAATGAGGGTGTATACAATTTGCTACGATAAAAATATGCCCCATGATAAAAATGTGCCTCAAGGTTCTTTGGAACAAATTCTTTACAGATAATTTGGTGTCGATTCTGCCTGTCTGTCTGACTGGTGCGCATGAGGTTTTCTCTCAAAAGTTTATATTATAGGACAATATTCAGGGCTAAGACCATACATCATAGGTGCAACACATTATTCGGTATTTTCAGCACGTTCTTTATCTGATTTTCAAAAATATAGAAAACCGGTTATTTTTGACTCGAAATTAGTTTTTTGGACTATGTGGCATAAAGGGCCCCATACACTATATATCATGCCATACAGCATTTATCATAGTATTTGTTATTTTTTGAAATTTTATTTATGTAGTTTTGATTTGAAAATGAACTCCTATCAATCTGGTGAATAATATCAATTTTGAAAGTTGTCAATAAATAATTTTGTGTACAAAAATAAGAGAATTGTGTCGGAATAAAACAACAACTGAATTTACGACACAAAATGCAATTTTTGGGACAAAAATTGATTTTTTGGAATAGTGATTGAAGAGTTTGCCATACACTAGTCAATATCACATATACAAAAAGAGGTTCATCGGCATGACGGCATGATTTATAGTGTAACAATAAATATTTTTTAAAAAAATAATGTGGACAAATACGAAAGTGTTTCATAATACATATGTATAGGGTATTATTCTTCTTTTTTCTATTGACTCAGGTCAATAGAAAAAAGTCCATAAGAAGGATCAAATATAGATTTCTAATATTTAGGGACCCCAGCGATAATCTTATGAAGAAATTTTTTGCAGATACTGCGAGGATTATAAATCGCATCTTATGTAAAGTCCGGTATAAAAAATTATGGACGAAAGGGACACACGAGCAAACGTGTTAGAAGGACGAAATGTTATACAGAAATATCTCCATTCCATGCAAAAGCTACAAATCCAGATACGAACTTATCTCTTTATTTATAATAGGGTCGCCCGCAAAAAAAAAGAATGATCACGCCATATCTCTGAACTTTTACCTAAGGTGATTTTTTCTTTCTGGATTTTCATATACTCACCAAGGCCCTAATAGGAATTTCCTATCCCCCAGACAATGACCTAAATTTTGTCAGACATTCTTATAAGTCAGTGTTTATACCCTTCACCACACTGTGGTACAGGGTATTATGTCTTTGTGCATATGTTTGTAACAGGCAAAAGGAAACGAGATAGACACATGGTTCCTTTTGAGAATATGCATATAATCACTTTCTGAGTCGATTTACGCATGTTCGTCTAGAATGATGTGTGTTGAGTTTCCTGAATATCGGTCCAGATTTAGATATAGCTGCCATATATATTTTCGTCCGATTTAATGTAAATGGTGTACCAAAGTCCCTATATATCTTTCGATTTGCACGAAATTTGGCATAGCGTAATGAATTAGGTCTTGACTGATGTGTGCCAGGTTACCTGAAAATCGGTCCAGATTTAGATATAGCCCCCATATATATTTTCGTCCGATTTAATGTAAATGGTGTACCAAAGTCCCTATATATCTTTCGATTTGCACGAAATTTGGTAATGAAGTAGGTCTAGAATGATGTGTGTCAAGTTACCTGAAAATCGGTCCAGATTTAGATATAGTCCCCATATATATTTTCGTCAGATTTAATGTAAATGGTGTACCAAAGTCCCTATATATCTTTCGATTTGCACGAAATTTGGTAATGAAGTAGGTCTAGAATGATGTGTGTTGAGTTTCCTGAATATCGGTCCAGATTTTGATATACCACCCATATATATTTTCGTCCGATTTAATGTAAATGGTGACCCAAAGTCCTTATATATCTTTCGATTTGAACAAAATTTGGTACAGCGTACTGAATTTGTTCTAGAATGATGTGTGTTAAGTTTCCTGAAAATCGGTCCAGATTTTGATATAGCTCACATATGTATTTTCGTCCGATTTAATATAAATGGTGTATCAAAGTATAGGTTGCAGAATGGCATGTTTATGGATCTATTTTCGTGTTTATGGTCCTTCAACGTCTGTTGGGATTCATCTGTTGAATATGCCCAAAATGGTGAAGGGAATCACATAGTCGGCCCCGTCCGACTTTACTATTATCCTTACTGGTTTTTCATAGTCCCCGTAAAAATGTAATGCTTTACTTTCGGTATGGTCCAAGTCCCCTCCCAATTTTGCTGAGTTTTTAGATTTTGGTATTTCGTTTTCTCCTTTTGTAATCTTCAAAGTAATGACAATTTGGGGTGCCCAATGAAATCCAACATTTTTAATTTAACATTTCGGATATATTGACAATTTGGGTTAAATCGTTTGATAGATTTTTTTAACCAATGATAATCCAAAATACCAATTTTGTTGAAAAAGTGTAAAAAAAAATCCTCGAATTACCGTATGTACATTTATTTCAAAATCCTTTAAATAATTCTTGAAAATTATTTTAATCTCTGTGCGTTTTTATGATCGAAGAAACTATTTTTTGACTAGACTGTATGAATTTCGTGGACATCATACCTTCATCTATCACGACTAATCTGATATTAATACAATGCATGTTCACACCTACAAGTACAACAACTTTTTACTTCGATAACAAATTTTCCTTTTTGATATAAAATAATCGCAAAAATAAGTACGGAAACAGCTCAATAATATTTCACATTTATAAATAATAAGTTTATATTAATATTAAAAAATAAATGTATATTCCCTTTCAGATGACAAACTAATCGACGAAATCTATGTAAAAACTAAAGCACTACATCGCAATTTAGTGCAAACCCGATCCAACATAGACTTAATATTACAAAGCATACAACGCTGGAGCCGTGAACCATTGCATCAACGTTCAATTTATGGTAAAAATTTATTAGAAATACGACATCAGGAGGAACGCTTACGCACTCGCCTAGTGCAATGCGAAGAAACCAACAGTCTGCTGAATCGTTTACTGATTAAGAATTTCTGTTTATTTTTCAATTATGAAATTGATGAGAATTACGATGGAGGAGATAAAAATATACATGAGGTAAGCTAGTTGATCAATACACATTCAATAAAAAGTTGAAATATTTTTGTTTGTTAATTTGTTACAGTTTTTACTTAACTATCCCGATGATCAGCGTGATAAGTATACACAGTATTTAAAGTCAATTGATAAAATGATATATGCCGAAATACGCCAATCAATGAAAATAAGGTTACAATATGACTGTTAAATTAATCGCTCAATCATAAAACGTCATTTGGAGATTCATTAAAAACGACATCATCTCAGCAGGATCATTTAACATTTTTCGAGGATCATTTCATCTGTCAAACTCACAGAAGATATAACATCAGATACGACATAAAATACTAAAAATAAAAATAATCAATCATAACTAAATCGACAACAAAATATTCTCAGTTGACTCAGAGTCACACATCGAATATGGACTGCCTCCTCCGTTTTAACACACCCCAGACAAAAGTGTTCGCTTCAGATTAGGTATTTTCAAGTTGCTGTCCAGGACTCAAAGTTTTCTAATCTCCACTTCCCTGTAATAAGTCACTATGATATTGAATATGGAGAATAACGATCCCCATTTTCGTATAGCTCCCCTTTAACAGTACCGACTTATTTTCGATATTTTCATATTCCGGTTTCTTTAACGCTGAAAAACCTACCTATAATTTAGCATATCGGCTTTTTGGGTAAGAAAAACATGTTAGCATAAAATTATTGGCATTATGAGTAGATTTCAACAGTTCAGCAGATATTACTATTGTGTCAGCAGGTCTCTTAATGATGGATTTCGGGTATAGGAACTCGTAATTTTCATGTTCACGGGAAGAAAAAAGTTAAATATGATGCTAAGTCATTCGTTCGGGTTGGGCCCCGAAAAAAATCTGAAGCATGGAAAAATTGAGCGGAACAAGATTTTGACACAACCTTTGGGTTCTATTGCCAACATACATGGCATAGCCTCATCATTAAAATTTCTCTACACAGATATGTCAGATAATCTTCCGCCTATGCACTTCCATTGTACTGGCTGCAGGCTTGTGAAAGAACATTTGTTCCATAAGCCCAGCTTAAAACACATTTCCAGGTTCGTCGGTCTTGTGCGCAGCTTTTCCAATTTGAAAGACCCTGTTTCGAGATGTTGTCATCCACTTGATCTATCCATCGAATTCCCCTTCTATGTGAAGCTGGGGCATCCTCATCCATTCTCACAACATGATCTAGCGAACGTAGTCGCTGTAGCTCGATGCGTCGGACTATGTCGATGTCCGAGAATATATGGTACAACTCATGGTTCATTCAACGGCAATATTCACCGCCGACGCAGATCGGCCTATAAATCTTCCGAAGATTTTTTTACACTTCCATTGTAATGTTGCAATAATACTTAACAATAACCTTTAAAAACGGACTTTAAGTCACCCGATCCTGATGTACTTGTAAGAAAATCTTGTTGAATGCATATAAGGTCATAAACCGGTAGGTGGTAAGTTAGCTTACGCCAGAATATTCAATATGCCACTTGAAGAATTATGACAGGGTGACTCCTTAGGTCACCACATTTTCCCACCCAGTTATATCAGCAAATATTCTGGAGGAGGAGGTTCACTCATAGCATTTTTGTGAAACATTCGCCCTCACCTTGGATCATCCACGTCCGTCCTCATTCAATTCGTATTAGGCGGAAATTTAAGGGGGGCCCATTCTCGGTTTCAAAATACTGAAATTTTTATTTAATTCAAACCTATCAAGCATCTCTGAAAAGCGCTGCACAAGATAGACAAGAATTCCATCTGTCAGGACAAATTCGAATGTTTTAGCCCCTCCATAATCAGGATGGAGCAGCCGTCTGTACATAATTACTGTCTCAAATGCACAAAAGTTCAATACACATCTGCTTGAAGAAAGCACTTCTTATCCCGATAATAGTATAGAAGCACAATGGCAAAGAATTGCCCACTCCCTACAAACTGCAGAAAAAAGAACAATTGGGTACCAAAAACCACCACCAAGAAACCCATGGTACGATCAGGAGTGTCGTAATGATACTGATGTGAAAAACGCACGTTACGTAGCAACACGTAACGTGATGGAGAATTATCGGGAGAAAAGGAGAGAGTAGAAACGTGTTTTCAGAAAAAAGAAGAAAGAACTAGAAAAGCGTGAGCGTCAGCAAATCAAGATGTACAGGCGTCAAAATGAAGTCCGGAAATTTTACCAACGAGTAAAACACCAAACCGAAGGCTTTGGTGCAGGCACATCCTCCTGTAGAGATGAAGAAGGAAACCTGGTGACAGATACAGAAAACGTGTTGTGGATCTGGAAGGAGCATTTTGAAAAGCTTCTGGTATCAAATAGTGGTGATAAAGAAGATACCCCAGAATCAATAAGAGATGATGGTATAGAGTGTATACCACCTTGACAAGATGAGGTCATAAAAGCAATTAATCGGCTCAAGAACAACAAAGCAGCAGGAGCCGATGGGTTACCAGCCGAACTATTCAAGACTGGTGGCCAGATGCTGGTCAGGAGCTTGCACCAGTTGATTAGCACACTTTGGCTAGATGAATGCATGCCCAATGATTGGAACCTCAGCATCCTGTGTCCCGTGCACAAAAAAGGAGACAAGACGATATGTGCCAACTATAGAGGAATAAGTCTCCTTCCCATCGCATATAAAGTGCTATCCAGTGTGCTGTGTGAACGATTGATGCCAATGGTCAATGACATCATCGGACCATACCAATGTGGCTTCAGACCTGGCAAATCCACCATTGACCAGATTTTCACTCTGCGCCAAATCCTGGAAAAGACTCACGAAAAACACATCGACACATACCACCTATTTGTCGACTATAAAGCCGCATTCGACAGCCCTATCCGTTCAGAGGTGTTTAAAGGATTGTGATGGCCAACCAATGCTACTATGGTCTAAGTAAGCAGTTTAGAAACAAGGCCACCTCCCGCCAGACCAAACTCACACTTTACAAGACGATGATACTACCCGTGCTATTATATGGATCAGAGGCATGGATACTTGCGCAAGCAGATGAGGCAGCTCTTGGGGTGTTTGAGAGAAAAATTCTCCGAAAGATCTACGGGCCGATCTGCGTCGACGGTGAATATCTGCGTCGAATGAACCACGAGCTTTACAATTTATACGCGGACATCGACATAGTCAGTCGTATTGAGCTGCAGCGACTATGGTGGCGAGGCCATGTTGTGCGGATGAATGAAAATGCCCCGAATTAGATGGAAAGACCAAGTAAAAAACAACATCTTGGAACGTTGTCTTCCAAATTGGTGGACTTGCGCACAAGACCGACGCGCTTGGAAATCTTTTTTAAGCTCGGCTTATGGAACAACCGTTCTGTAACAAGCCAGCTAAGTAAGTAAGTAAATAGGTCATTCGACTTCAAATCCACCGAACAATTCGCACCAACGAAAAACCGATTAAGAACGTTTCGAAGAGGTTATTAATCGACTCTTAAGAACATTTCCCGCACTTCACATTAACGGGTAACTGAGTAGAATTTTCTGGACATTATGACTGTACTCTCTGAAACAGAACAAATATCCTTATGGTAAACAATGACTAGACCATAAATTTAATCTCTCAAATACGGATTTAAGGAATGGGAGGAGTTCTTAAGTGGAATGTTTAAATACCTATCATGTATGAAAAACACGAATATCCTTCATGTAAATAATCACTGCAGGATCCGTTTCATTCACCTAACTCCTCAACTATACCCACTCACATGTCCCCAATATCGTATTGGACTTAAGCAGTCTAGATTGTAACCTTCATGAATATTTAAGACACGTTCATAGATAAATTTCCGAACGGTAAAAATAATTGTCCTTCATTGCCAATTAATGGAATTAATTACAACAGGATGTATTTCTTGAAATTCTTTTGAAATGGAACCCCATTTCCAATAGACTTCCCTCCATACTATCTCCTACACCTTTTCACTTAGCACAGATTTCCCCCATTTTATATTTGGAATATAAAAATCAGGAGTCAATTTGTAAAATAACCCTCTCGTCCGCAAAGAGGTAATAAAATCAACACCAAATATCCAAGCAAGTAACAATTCAATAAAACCCCTGCCTCTCCCCCCAAGCTATTGACAATGTTTACTTTATACTAAGTCTGCCAACAATAACTACAACAGTGGCAATAACAAAAAATCGCTGAAAACACACATTCGCGGTATTTGAGCTGTCATGTCACTTTTTTGTTGCTGCAACCATTCAAATTGCACATCATGCGAATTTAAGTATCAATGCATTCGTCCGTCCGTCCGTTCGTGTGGCTCAACTTATTTTACAGCCAAAATGTGATGACAAGCAAACTGTCAGAATTGATACGTTCATCCACATTGCAAAACATTATCATGATCATCATCAGCACATCAAAACACATATGAACATACACGCACACACACATCGATACACCTGTACTCACACACACGCTCACTCCCTGATTCATTCGGCCATAAGTGAGAAATAACCATTAGCCTGCCATACCACAAAACTCACATTCACACCTTGTCGCACACACACACTCACACATGGAGGTACAACTCCCATTTGAAAAGTAACATTTCTGTGGAATTCACGGTGTTTTGTTGGCGTTGTTGTTGCTGGCAATTGCATGCAACATGCATTGCCACGACGGCACACAAAACACCTCTTATGCCACGTCACTTCACTTTTCGTTGGTTTTGCAGTTTGGAGTATTTGCTCAACGAAATGGCAACAACCGCAACAGTGGAAACATCACAACCACTGACAACAACAAGAACAGCAACAACAACATCGGTAAACGAAGACCCTATTACAACGATGCCAACAATTGCTGAATCAACTGCTGCTGCTGCTACGGCTGCCGTTGAAATGTGTGGAGTCAACCAAACAAGTGCCATCAAATCAATACAAATACTAACTGCAACAACAACACAGACACCAATACGAACATCAACAACAACATTGACAGAATTAACAGTTCCAAAAGCCACAACAGCGACGGCAACCAAACATTTTCTACCCCACTTACTTAAGGCGATCCATAGCCAGCAACAACAACAATTGCCCAATGCTAACGACTCTGCACCCTTACATCCAGCAATGCGTTCCCCACTCACCCACAACACTACGAATAACTCCCATCCCACCAAGGACCACCACCCCTCCATAACCACAACAACACCAACGAAATCACCCCTTTTTGAGGTAAAATTGCAACTACTTTATGGCGCCCGTTGCATCAACTTCGTACCCTCGCTCGAGACAAGTGAGCCAACAAATTTCCAGCAAATTGTCGAGCAACTACTCGTTGACATCGAGAAAGCATGCAAATGCATGCCGCGCATTTTCGTAGAAGATGACACGCCACTGACACCAGCGAGCAATGAATGCGACGGCGATGTTACGTTCCATCGGGTACAAGCGGCTCGTGTCGTAGGGCCAAGTCAAGTGTTGGCAAGAAGAAGCAGAACACAAACGACAACAGCTACAACTTCGGTGCGATGCCCATCAAGCGAAGACAGGGTGATGAATGCTACAAATGTTGCAACAATAACCCAAACAGGTAAATAGTTTTCAGCTCATTTCACTTAGTTAAATATTGTGGCAGGTTGGCAGGGTGGTGGTCGGTGGAATAATGGGAGGGATTCGATTGAAAATAAATTTATTAAAAATTGGCGTAATTAAAATTAATTTTTCAGTATTGTTATAACCCAGCCCATGGTGGCGTATGTGGTATATGCATGATATATTTTACGGATGTTACGCATACGCCATGATGTCCATAAGATATGATGAGGCCATCGTTAAGTTGAAAATATTTTTAGAATTTGCTTCTAATCGTCCAATCATCCGTCTGTTTTTATACCCTCCACCATGTACATTGAATTTGTCATTCCGTTTGCAACTCATAGATTTACCGGATACCCCACAAAGTATATATTTTGGATCAGAATACAAATTCTATGTCTATTTATGCATGTCTGTCCATCTGTCTGTTGAAGTCACGATAGAGATAGAGCTTTAAAGTTTTGCACTGGCATTGCTATTACTCCCAGGATGGTTGGTATTGCAAATATGGTATCCACCGTTTGGCATAGCCCCCATATAACGGTGTGGGCACCGTTATTATCATACGGATTTTTGACAGATTTTTCAACCGAATTAGCTGCAATTTGCTACTTTTGTTTCTCATTGGGTAGCAAGTCTTCCTACCGAAAAAGGTCAATAATCAGCTATAAATAGATATTTTAGTCACAATTTAGCTATACGATCTGACCACGAAAATGTCACACTGCTCGGCTCACTTTTTCAAAACGACAGATTTGATTAAATCTACACCTTTTCAAACACCGTACATGGTGGCGTATAATTTGTAGTGTACATGGTGGCGTATACATTTATTGTAAAATTTCTGGAAAGAAGGTTTTTTTTATCATCAATCCGATATGCCAATTTATAGACACTTCGATGTGAAAAAAAGCTTAATAATAGTCGAAATAAAGCGATAGGGGTTAGGTGAAGACATGAGCCTATGCTCAGAGTCCTACACACGTCGATCACCCTTATGGATGTCTGTTTTTTTTAGTGGTGTACTCAAGAGCCTTTTCCTTTTGCCCTTTGACACGGGTTATACTTCGGATCAGATGTCAGCTCCACACCTTTGCCAGAGACAGTGGGCTTTGCCGACTCTACTACTTTGTTTGATTCAGAAATCTCCTTAGAGGTTTTTGATCGAGTACCTGTTTGTTTCGGGAGGAAGATCCTTTCCATCTGGAGCTCACGATGAAAAGCATGCGGATAGGTTCTTTCGAAATTCTTTACGAATTTCATTTTGGCCTACATGAGATGAACCTCCCTCGCCGAAAGCAAATTCGCATCTCGCCCTACGAATTTGCGGAGGTACGATACGGCACGTTTATAGAGCTTCGCATCGGATAATTCACGGGCAGTTCCGACCTTTGAATCGTTGACCGTTGTTAAGGTCTCAATAGACGCTCATCGATTCGGTCGCGGTCTGCTTTTTGAGTTTATTGTCGGCATGTTCCGAAACAAGATCAGTGGGAATCATACTTGCATTCGGTTGGTAAACAGGGCCTAAACTTCCTTCGTTGTAACTAACCACAATAATCATCCTGTGTAGACTTAGCCGGAATCATCGTGGCGACCAGTTTATCATCGGAGTTAGATTTTGTAGCAGTTCCTCCTGAAATGTATCCCCACTTTGCTCTTTCAGTACAAGTCTCTCCAGTTGGTCGAAGAGTTCCCTACTCGGTTCCTCTAGATTTTCGTGTATAGCAATAAGGATCCTATGAAGGTCGCCCCTCCCAAAACTGTAGTCCTGTCTGTCACAATTTGTGATCGCGAGGTACATCTCTAATGTGGTAGGACCAGAATTCTGAATTTTCTTTAATTTCCGCGGATTTTTTACATCGAGCCGACACCAAATTTAACTACCTTTACTACCCTTTCCCACGCCTCTGCTGACGATATTTGTGTTCGTGTTGTTTTCCTAAACATTGGCAACACAAAGCTGACAATATTTCACTTGAAAAGAAATTGCAGTTTCTTTGGCTGATTCACTCTGATGCACATACTACTGACGATGCTTTTTATTTTTCATCTTCATCCACTTGGTATTTTTTCCAGGGGACAACTACGACAACAGCAACAACAACGACAACAACTACATCTTAAAACAACTCAATGCAGTCATACGGAATATGGTTGCTGCCACTGTTAATGCCGCCAAAGCGTATGCCTCCAACTTTCAACATTATGCACATTTATGGAGTGAAAAATATTCACAAGTTCTCAATAGACAATTGTGTGAAATAGCAGCAGGGGGTGAGAGGGCACGACAGAAACGGGATGCCGCCGATTCGCAGGTGGCAGGTGGTAAGCGTGCAACAGGAGAGGAGTATGGCATGAACCGAGGTTACTATGTCATGGAAACATTCAAGCGTGAGGTAAGTGGGAATATTAATGTCAACAGACGAACAGACGAAGAAACATAAGAATGATTTTGTGGAGGGAAGAATAGAGGGAGGTAGGGGAAAATAAACACGTTTTGAGCCATGTTTGCAAATGGAGATGAATGCCGGGGAAGAAGTGTTAACAAACGACAAACAATATTTTTATCTCAAGGCTTGAACTGCATGAAGAAATGCTGCAACGACAAATGTCTCCATGTCCAGGTGTTTTTTGTGTTATTGTTATTGTTATTGTTGTCATTCTTGTTCTTATTGTTGTTGTTGATGCTCTCTAACCATTTGCCGTATGGCAAGTTCAATTGTTCATTTGAAATGCTCATAAAAAAACTTTATGTCCATCATAAATAACCAAAGACAAATGTAAATTATATATGTATGAGTATGTTGACATATACAGGCTCACACACATACATGCATACTTGATACTAAATTGAGGAGGGCAGCATCATTTGGAATCAAATGCCCACAGCAATGATGGCTAACCTGAATTGAACTCTTATTTAAGTGTTTTTTTTTCTTTTGTTTTTGTCTCCAAAGCAATTTCCAAAACACTCCTGTTAGTGTGTGAGTTTGTGGCTGTCAATGTGTATGTGTGCGTGTGTGTATTTACGTGTTTGTGTTCTAACCACAATATGTGTGGTCAGTTGGAATTTTTATAAGGATTTGCCACATCCATGCATGCACACACACACATACACACCCATCTATATATTGCAAAACTAAAAGAAACATAAAACAATAAGAGAACCCGGTTGCACATCAAACACACAGGCACACAGCCACTCATACAGTGACACACTCTCAACCCAATACACTACACATGAAATATTTACTCACATTCACACATACACACATATTTATAAGATATATGCGACCACAATCACACAAGTTGTGCCCACGGGACCAATAACATTTGATAAATGTCGAGCATTTAAGGCCAAACTACTTGGCACTTCTCGGTAGCTGTGGTGGCTGGATGACTGCTTCGCTGGCTGGCTGTTTGACTGAATAAATGCCGAACTAACAACATAAGAGGATCTTGGTGGTCCTGGTCAGGCAACTTCATCGTCTTGTTTTTTGCTTGGTTGCTTGGTAGCCACTTTATGTCATCTTAAACATTCACAACACAAAGACACACACACAGAGACACTCACACACTTGAGAGTTACAATTACACATATATTTACGCTTAAGTGTCTGTAAATGTGTTGCAGTTTAAAACATTTCCAATTCAGCTTCTGGTTATGGGGCTTAAGATGAAAAAAACACACACACCAAAGATATTTCTTCAATTATTACAATCACCGAATATTTCTCATTTAAAGGGGACAATTTTGAAGGGGCACAGTGGTTTGACCCCAATACAAATATTATTTAAAAAATTAAGTCTTAAAAACAGGACCATCACAAGTCGACGCATTTAAAAGACCTTTAACAAAAGTCCCGATTTTAAAGGACCTTTGCACAATCCACTAATTCCAAAATCCACGCCTCAATGGCTTTAAAAAAACGATGCCTTTACAAGACACTTAAAAAAATGAACGACGTTAAAGGACTTACAAAATGCACGCCTTTAAAGGACACTAAAAAATACACGCCGTTGCAAGACACTTACAGAATAAATGGCTTTAAATGACCCTTACAAAATCCACGCTTTTAAGGACATTTAAAATATTCACGCCCTTAAAGGACCTGAAAATATTCACGCCCTTAAAGGACCTGAAAATATTCACGCCCTTAAAGGACCTGAAAATATTCACGCCTATAAAGGACCTTAAAATATTCACGCAAATAAAGGACCTTTAAAAAATCCACGCCTTTTAAGGACACTTCAAATATTCACGCCTATAAAGGACCCTCAAAAATCCAACCCCTATAAAGGACCTTAAAATATTCACGCCTCTAAAGGACCTTAAAAACCCTCTCCTATACAGAACCATTACAAAATCCACGCCTTCAAGGCCTACTTCTAGGCCTTGAAAAAAATTCTTTTAAAAATCCACGCCTACTTCTAGGCCTTGAAAAAAATTCTTTTAAAAATCCACGCCTACTTCTAGGCCTTGAAAAAAATTCTTGGAGGGGTATAAAAATTCTTTTAAAAATCCACGCCTACTTCTAGGCCTTGAAAAAATATTCTTTAATAAATCCACGCCTTCTTCTAGGCCTTGAAAAAATATTCTTTACAAAATCCACGCCTTCTTCTAGGCCTTGAAAAAATATTCTTTAAAAAATCCACGCCTTCTTCTAGGCCTTGAAAAAATATTCTTTAAAAAATCCACGCCTTCTTCTAGGCCTTGAAAAAATATTCTTTAAAAAATCCACGCCTTCTTCTAGGCCTTGAAAAAATATTCTTTAAAAAATCCACGCCTTCTTCTAGGCCTTGAAAAAATATTCTTTAAAAAATCCACGCCTTCTTCTAGGCCTTGAAAAAATATTCTTTAAAAAATCCACGCCTTCTTCTAGGCCTTGAAAAAATATTCTTTAAAAAATCCACGCCTTCTTCTAGGCCTTGAAAAAATATTCTTTAAAAAATCCACGCCTTCTTCTAGGCCTTGAAAAAATATTCTTTAAAAAATCCACGCCTTCTTCTAGGCCTTGAAAAAATATTCTTTAAAAAATCCACGCCTTCTTCTAGGCCTTGAAAAAATATTCGACGTCTTCTTCTAGGCCTTGAAAAAATATTCTTTAAAAAATCCACGCCTTCTTCTAGGCCTTGAAAAAATATTCTTTAAAAAATCCACGCCTTCTTCTAGGCCTTGAAAAAATATTCTTTAAAAAATCCACGCCTTCTTCTAGGCCTTGAAAAAATATTCTTTAAAAAATCCACGCCTTCTTCTAGGCCTTGAAAAAATATTCTTTAAAAAATCCACGCCTTCTTCTAGGCCTTGAAAAAATATTCTTTAAAAAATCCACGCCTTCTTCTAGGCCTTGAAAAAATATTCTTTAAAAAATCCACGCCTTCTTCTAGGCCTTGAAAAAATATTCTTTAAAAAATCCACGCCTTCTTCTAGGCCTTGAAAAAATATTCTTTAAAAAATCCACGCCTTCTTCTAGGCCTTGAAAAAATATTCTTTAAAAAATCCACGCCTTCTTCTAGGCCTTGAAAAAATATTCTTTAAAAAATCCACGCCTTCTTCTAGGCCTTGAAAAAATATTCTTTAAAAAATCCACGCCTTCTTCTAGGCCTTGAAAAAATATTCTTTAAAAAATCCACGCCTTCTTCTAGGCCTTGAAAAAATATTCTTTAAAAAATCCACGCCTTCTTCTAGGCCTTGAAAAAATATTCTTTAAAAAATCCACGCCTTCTTCTAGGCCTTGAAAAAATATTCTTTAAAAAATCCACGCCTTCTTCTAGGCCTTGAAAAAATATTCTTTAAAAAATCCACGCCTTCTTCTAGGCCTTGAAAAAATATTCTTTAAAAAATCCACGCCTTCTTCTAGGCCTTGAAAAAATATTCTTTAAAAAATCCACGCCTTCTTCTAGGCCTTGAAAAAATATTCTTTAAAAAATCCACGCCTTCTTCTAGGCCTTGAAAAAATATTCTTTAAAAAATCCACGCCTTCTTCTAGGCCTTGAAAAAATATTCTTTAAAAAATCCACGCCTTCTTCTAGGCCTTGAAAAAATATTCTTTAAAAAATCCACGCCTTCTTCTAGGCCTTGAAAAAATATTCTTTAAAAAATCCACGCCTTCTTCTAGGCCTTGAAAAAATATTCTTTAAAAAATCCACGCCTTCTTCTAGGCCTTGAAAAAATATTCTTTAAAAAATCCACGCCTTCTTCTAGGCCTTGAAAAAATATTCTTTAAAAAATCCACGCCTTCTTCTAGGCCTTGAAAAAATATTCTTTAAAAAATCCACGCCTTCTTCTAGGCCTTGAAAAAATATTCTTTAAAAAATCCACGCCTTCTTCTAGGCCTTGAAAAAATATTCTTTAAAAAATCCACGCCTTCTTCTAGGCCTTGAAAAAATATTCTTTAAAAAATCCACGCCTTCTTCTAGGCCTTGAAAAAATATTCTTTAAAAAATCCACGCCTTCTTCTAGGCCTTGAAAAAATATTCTTTAAAAAATCCACGCCTTCTTCTAGGCCTTGAAAAAATATTCTTTAAAAAATCCACGCCTTCTTCTAGGCCTTGAAAAAATATTCTTTAAAAAATCCACGCCTTCTTCTAGGCCTTGAAAAAATATTCTTTAAAAAATCCACGCCTTCTTCTAGGCCTTGAAAAAATATTCTTTAAAAAATCCACGCCTTCTTCTAGGCCTTGAAAAAATATTCTTTAAAAAATCCACGCCTTCTTCTAGGCCTTGAAAAAATATTCTTTAAAAAATCCACGCCTTCTTCTAGGCCTTGAAAAAATATTCTTTAAAAAATCCACGCCTTCTTCTAGGCCTTGAAAAAATATTCTTTAAAAAATCCACGCCTTCTTCTAGGCCTTGAAAAAATATTCTTTAAAAAATCCACGCCTTCTTCTAGGCCTTGAAAAAATATTCTTTAAAAAATCCACGCCTTCTTCTAGGCCTTGAAAAAATATTCTTTAAAAAATCCACGCCTTCTTCTAGGCCTTGAAAAAATATTCTTTAAAAAATCCACGCCTTCTTCTAGGCCTTGAAAAAATATTCTTTAAAAAATCCACGCCTTCTTCTAGGCCTTGAAAAAATATTCTTTAAAAAATCCACGCCTTCTTCTAGGCCTTGAAAAATATACTCTTTAAAAAATCCACGCCTTCTTCTAGGCCTTGAAAAAATATTCTTTAAAAAATCCACGCCTTCTTCTAGGCCTTGAAAAAATATTCTTTAAAAAATCCACGCCTTCTTCTAGGCCTTGAAAAAATATTCTTTAAAAAATCCACGCCTTCTTCTAGGCCTTGAAAAAATATTCTTTAAAAAATCCACGCCTTCTTCTAGGCCTTGAAAAAATATTCTTTAAAAAATCCACGCCTTCTTCTAGGCCTTGAAAAAATATTCTTTAAAAAATCC